TCGAAGGTGCTTGTGTGCACGATCTGCGAAGAGATGCTGGAAACACTTGACAGTGATGCTGCTGGGCGTCAGGCGGCTCCAGCCTCCAGCCTCGTCGCATCTCCTGCTCCAGCCACCCTGGGTCCCAGGATACACTCCAGAGGACGTCCACGCAAAGGTGAGGCGGCTGAGTCACGATGGTCGCTGTCCCTGTTCATCAAGCAGCATCGCCAAGACATTTATGAGCAGACCAGCGAGTCGTTTGCCAAAGCAGCCAAATACAGGTGCAAGGCTTGTCGGCGGGAGATAAAATTTGGATCCCAAACATGCCCGAAGAAGTTATACGACCATGAAACTGGGCAGCGCCACAAAGACGGCGTGGACCGCTTGCGCGGCCATCAGCAGCCTGCCGAAGGTCAGCTATGTCAGCTCGTCTCTGTCGCTGGAGGTGGCGTGGGCGAGGGTGACAATGCTTCCAATGCCCAGGATTGCTCGAGGCCCTGCAATGGAGTGCCCAGCAACAACCCCTTGCTTCCGATGCACGATTTGGAGTGGAGTCTCACCGAGTTCGTGATGATGGGACAACCACGGACTGTGTATGCCGAGGGTGAAACGGACCCAGCCGAACAGGCGCGCTGCATCGTGCAGGACGGATAATTAGGATGGCTTCGAGCTGCCGGACAGTCCGGACATAATCCACATGCTTCTGGGGGTCTGACATAGCTTGGAAGGGTTGAGATGGTTGATACCGTATACACCGTAGCTCCGGGCATGATGGGCATGGCTTGAGGCTTTGATTTTGCACACTCCAGATGCAGGAGACATGCGTTGTGGTGCAAAGCAGCAAGTGTCAGGGCGTCCTTGGCCCGCATGACAGGTCCTGCTGCAAGGCATGTTTTGCTTTGGTCAAATGGGATAAGTTCCGCGCTTACATAGCCAAGAAGGGCTATATGCTGGACTTGCTCAAGCTTGTCTGGAAGAGTTTTCATGCAACGGCTGCTGAGCTGCACGAGTTTCGGGCAGCTATGTCCAATCGGGACTACACACAGACCGGCCTGGCCGGGGATGATGTCATGGCCATCCTGAGAATCAAAGACAAGATGCAGTTGGCAAGGAAGGTGAAGACGAAGATCGAGTGCTCGCCGGCTTGGAGGTTCTCCGCTTCCATGAAGAGTGTCGTGTCCACGTGGCTCGTGAAGCCGCAGCATCACCATGCGAGCGAGACCGAAGCGCTTGCTTACGCAGGTCTTTCCCAAGAGCTCAGCCAGAGCATTGCTGCAGGGCGTGTCCGCCAACTGGACGTACAATTGGCCGCGAAGGTCGCGTCCGGAGCCCTCCGCAGTGAGCCTATCATTGAGAGCCTGTGCGCGTCATTTTTGATGACGTTCAATGAAAACTTGCACATGTACAAGCGCCGCACCACTTCAGCGTTCCTTGCCCATTTGACTCCAAACCTGGCTGGAAATTTCTGAGGATGGTGTGTACGGTATGCGCGGTGCATACTTATGATACATGTGGTATGTACGGTATGTACGGTCTGTATGGTGTGTACGGTGTACAATGTATACAGCATATACAGCATATACAGCATATACTGCCAAGGTTCGCGAGGTATGATGAGCTCTCGCAGGCCTTGGTGACGTTGGGCAAGCACCCCGAGATGGAGGACCTCCTGAGAACGTGTGGAGTCAATCCACGTGGCCTTCCGAAGCTTCGCCTTGATACTCAGGAGCCAAGGGGTCCCAGGAAGAAGGACTTGTATGTGTTGTTGAGTTGTCAGGCTTGCGTGGCATTCGCGTGTAAGATTTCTGCTGTATCTGCTGTGATTGACAAGCGTGAGGTTCATGAGGCTTTCGTTGCTTTCCCAGGAGTTCCCGCAACCGTTCCTGTCGTTGAAGTATGATGGGCAGCTGAAGAAGTGCTGGCAACAAGCGGTGTCACACCTGAAGGCAGGAGGACAGCGAGTCCACCTGATCTGCGACGAGACGACCTGGGCTGCGTCGTGGGAACAGGTACCAGGCCTTCGTTTGGAGGAGGAAGGCAAAGATGGCATCGTTGTGGTTGGAGGCGCTTGGTCCAGGGTGCCAGCAGAGGACTTCTCTCTGATGTCACCTCAGCGCTGGAAGGAAGCATCCCGATCCAAACAGCACTTGGCCCGCGTGGCGTTGCATATTGTCTGCAAACGCACTGACAACGACCAGTACGCCTATGACCTATGTGTGCTCCCGAGACCTGCCGGGATCTGCTCCGCCAGGGCCATGCTAGAGACCATCTCTGAAGTGCTTCAGATGGTCACGGAGGCCGGAGATGTGCCGCCTGCAGGCATCAGCTACGATGGAGGAACACCAAACAGCGCGTTGAACTCTATGCTTCTGGGGCTCTGCAGCCGAGAAGCCATGCAGGAGTGGCCGTTCTTCAGATGCTGCCACACCAAAGAAACCAGCTTTGCATATTGGCCTTTCAGAATGCTGCTGTGGAAGGATTACTTGATGGTTTCCTTCAACGGAGCCTTTCACTACTTGAAGCGTCTGGCCCTGCAATGTTTGTCGGGCTGCCGGGTTATCTACATGGGCTCTGTGTTTGTCAATGTGAGCGGTGGATT